GCCACTGCACTCCAGCCTGGGTTACAGAGCGAGACTGTCTCAAAAAAAAAAAAAAAAGAAAAGAAAAGAAAAAAGGCTGGTTGTCGCCCTTCTAAAGGCTGAGACTCCCGGTAGCTAGGAGGCTGCATGGCAGCCGAAGTGGCAGCTCCCACACGGCCCCTCGGCCAGCCAGGCCCCTCAGATGAGAGCTGCACCCAGGCCAGCACCAGCCACTCAGCCGCCACCCCCCGCTGCAGTTGGCTGTCCTGCCTCTGTGTCCGGGCACCAGGTCCGCTGGCCCAGATGGCTACCACTGCAGCCAGTGTGGCTGTGGGCTCTGCTGCGGGGCACACACGGGGCCATGCCATTACTGGGGACTTCTGTGGAGGAAGTAACGCTGAGCCTGTGAGGCCTGACACCAGGAGCCTCAGGGAACCTGGTGGCACAGCAGCGGCAGCATTGCCTCTGTGACATCAGTTTGTGGAGTGTGCCCAGAACCAGGGTGACATCGGGTTTCAGCGAGGTGCCAAAAAGTGTGACTTGCCAACAGATTGGCCTTATCAAGAGTTCAACCTGGAGAAGTGGAAAAGCAGCTCTCATAACAAGTTAATTTAATACAAAAATTGAATTGATAATGAAGGTGTAAAGTGTAGCCACCAGTTAAACCTGTCATTCCTGGCTTCCTTGCTTCAGAATTGACATGGAAGGGAGTGTTCCTACTCTGCAGAATTTGGAGCTGGGCAAATGTTTGTGTGGCCTCCTTCAACTAGCTGTTATTATTTTATTCTTTGCAAGTTTATTAAGTTACTTTCTTCCAAGAAAAAACAAACAAACCTGTTGCAGTTCAAGAAAATGATGAAAAACTGGATGGAGGTAACAGGGGCCCTGCAGAGGGACGAGCCCCGGTCACTGGAGGCACTCAGCTCTGAGCAGATGAAGAACTGCAGCTGATAAAGTGGTTCTCCAGCTGTCCTGGCCACAAGACTGCGCAGACACCACCAACCGCACTTCACAGAGAAGCCACGTCTGCACATGCAGCCACCCTTCACAGACACACGGAGAAGCCAGGTCTGGGTGCCTGGCACAGCACGGCACAGGGCACAGTGTGGCATCATCTGCTTTCGTTAAGAAACGGAAGTCCAGATTCTTGTGCTGGAATATTCTGACACACCCTGTCTTGTCTCCGGACACATTGGGACGCAGATGTTCCCAGGGTGTAGGGCATCAAGGGTTGTTTGCTTTGCATTCCTCTCTTCTGTGTAGTTGGATTTTTTTTTTTTTTTAAACCAATAGCACATATTTCTTCTAACTTATAAAAAATAAGATACAGGGCCGGGCGCGGTGGCTCAAGCCTGTAATCCCAGCACTTTGGGAGGCTGAGGCGGGTGGATCACGAGGTCAACAGATCGAGACCATCCCGGTCAACATGGTGAAACCCCGTCTCTACTAAAAATACAAAAAAAATTAGCTGGGCACGGTGGTGCATGCCTGTAATCCCAGCTACTCAGGAGGCTGAGGTTGCAGTGAGCTGAGATCACGCCATTGCACTCCAGCCTGGGTAACAAGAGAGAAACTCTGTCAAAAAAAAAAAAAAAAAAAATACAGAAACCATAAAAAATAAATGGAACTGGCAGGACATGGTGGCTCACGCCTGTAATCCCAGCACTTTGGGAGGCAGAGGTGGGTGGATCACGAGTCAAAAGATCGAGAACATCCTGGTCAACATGGTGAAACCCCGTCTCTACTAAAAATACAAAAAATTAGCTGGGCATGGTGGTTTGTGCCTATAATCCCAGCTACTCAGGAGGCTGAGGCAGGAGAATTGCCTGAACCCAGGAGGCAGAGGTTGTGGTGAGTCGAGATCACAGCATTGCACTCCAGCCTGGGTAACAAGAGTGAAACCCCGTCTCCAAAAAAAATAAAAAAATGGAACTAATTATAAATAATTACTTACAAAGAATTGGCCAGGTGAGGTGGCTCATGCCTAGAATCCCAGCACTTTGGGAGGCCAATCCGGCCAACATGGTGAAACCTTGTCTCTACTCAAAATACAAAAATTAGCACACATGTAATCCCAGCTACTTGGGAGGCTGAGGCAAGAGAATCACCTGAACCTAGGAGGCAAAGGCTGCAGTGAGCAGAGATCACACCACTGAACTCCAGCCTTGGTGACAAAGCAAGATTTCGCCTCAAAAGAAAGAAAAGAAAAGAGAAGAAAAAACAAAGTAACATATGGAGACACAAAAACAGAGAATGCACAGATACTTCTCTGGCTTAAAGTTAGTGGAAAACACTAAACTAAAATGACCGTAATTTCCCTCTGAATTACAACAGTTCTAATTCGTACTGATTTTATTTCTTCGTTTTGAGACAGGGTCTCGCTCTGTCAGCAAGTTGGCGCCAGTGGCACAGTCACGGCTCACTGCAGCCTTGACCTTCCAGGCTCAAACTGTCCTCCCGCCTCAGCCTTCTGAGTTGCTGGGACTATAGGCGCATGCCACCATGGTGGCTGTTTTTATTTTTTGGTAGACGGGTTTTCGCCAACAGCCTGGCAACCTAGAGCACTGGCAAATGGCCGGGTCCCAGACTCCACAGGGAAAGTGATGCCCTCACTGTCTCCTTTTAGGGGTGTTGATGGATTGAGCAAATGGAGAGACCTAAGGTTAGCACAGCCCTGGGGACTTTTCTGTGAAACAGGGAGGATGTGCCTCTGGCAGACACCTGAACCCCCAATTTCCTGTGGAAATGAGCTGGTTAGAGGGCCCCCAGCACAGGCAGATGAGAGCTTTTGTCCCACAGTGACAGAAAGTAGGGGTGTAGATCTCTGCTACTCCAGGTGGGGCCCTGAGACCAGCAGGAAAGGCCCTTCTACTGCAGTGGGGCAGGAAGGAAGCAGGCTGGAGTGCTGGTGAGCCCTGCTCCACCCCCAAGGACCAGTGGTTCCCCATTCACTGACTTCAGCCAGATTGGAATCATGCCCTTTCATTTTAGAGGGATTTTTGTGGGCTGGGGGCAGTGGCTCACATCTGTAATCCCAGGACTTCCGGAGGCTGAGGCAGGATCACAAAGTCAAGAGATTGAGACCATCCTGACCAATGTGGCGAACACCCCAGTCTACTAAAAATTAGACAGCTGTGGTGGTGTGTGTCTATAGTCAGTGAGGCTGAGGCAGAATAACTTAAGCCTGAGAAATGGAGATTGCAATGAGCCAGATGGCACCACTGCACTCCAGTCTGGTGACAGAGCAAGACTCCATCTCAAAATTTAAAAAACAGGGGCCGGGCGCGGTGGCTCAAGCCTGTAATCTCAGCACTTTGGGAGGCTGAGGCGGGTGGATCACGAGGTCGAGAGATCGAGACCATCCTGGTCAACACGGTGAAACCCCGTCTCTACTAAAAATACAAAAAATTAGCTGGGCATGGTGGCACGTGCCTGTAATCCCAGCTACTCAGGAGGCTGAGGCAGGAGAATTGCCTGAGCCCAGGAGGCGGAGGTTGCAGTGAGCCGAGATCGTGCCATTGCACTCCAGCCTGGGTAACAAGAGTGAAACTCCGTCTCAAAAAAAAAAAAAAAAAAAAAAATTTAAAAAACTGTTTTTAAATAGGGATTGAGCCTAGGCACGGGCTCCCCACCTGCCCCCTTGCACTTCCTGAGATGGAGTTCCACTTATCACCCAGACTGGAGTGCAGCTGCATGATCTCAGCTCACTGCAACCTCTGCCTCCTGGGTTTAAGCGTTTCTCCTGCCTCAGTCTCCAGAGTAGCTGGGATTACAGGCATGTGCTACCACACCAGACTAATTTTTTCATTTTTAGCAGATACGAGGCTTTGCTACATTGGCCAAGCCAGTCTTGAACTCCTCACCTCAAGTGATTGTGTGTGCCTTGGTTGGGATTACAGGCGTGAGCCACCACACCAGGCCCGCCCTGCACTTCAGAAATGATTCCCATACAAGCTGAGCACAAACACCTTAGACAGGAAGACAGTAGCCAACAGCCCTCCAAGTCAATGGATGTTCAGCATCTGTTTCCTAACAAGCCAGGCATTGTCACATATCAAGTGTGGGCACCAGAGGTACTGGCATCACCTGCACCAACAGTGCTCAGGTGCCCCCACACCTGCACCTGGCAGAAATGTGGACACAGAACCTGCCTGGGCCCGAGGCTGCGTCTCTGGGGTTGTCAAGGCCACAACTGCCAAGCACTGGTAAGACAGGGGCAGGCTGTGTCTGAAAACCTCATGAGAAACCATGCTGCCCTTGGACCCAGAACGGGGGCTGCCCACCTCAGACCCCCCTATACTATCTGGCTCCCTCTTGTCCATGAAGCAAGAACAATGGCTTCAAAATGTTTTAGGATTGCCAGAGAAGCCAAAACTCGGGAGAACCATCCAATACCATGGTGTCTGGGTGAAGACACCCAGGGAAGGGTCAGAGCAAGATGACCTCAGTCACCAGGCACAAAAGGTTCAACACTGAGGTCCCGAAAAAGATGCTACACTGACCGGAAACTACTCTGCTTAAAATAGGCAACTCCAGGCTGGATGCAGGCGCTCATGCCCATAAACCCCCCTACTTGGGAAGCTGAGGGACAATTCCTCAAAGCCATGAGTTCAAGGGTGCAGTGAGCAAGGAATGTGGCACTGTACTCCAGCCCTCTTCATTTTTTTCGGTGGTTGTTGCCCAGGCTGGAGTACAGTGGTGTGTTCGTGGCTCACTGCAACCTGTGCCTCCAGGTTTAGGCAATCCCCTCCCCTCAGCCTCCTGAGTAGCCGAGACCACAGGTGTGCACATCATCGCACCCAGCTAATTTTATTAGCGACAGGAATTTCCCACGGTGGTGAGGCTGGTCTCGAATTCATCAGCCCAAGTGGCCTCCCAACGTGCTGGGATTACAGGTGTGAGCACCAGCCCAACCTTATCTCTCTAAAAACAAAGGGTGTGTCTGGTCAAGTCAGCCTCTGTAACCTCCCAAGAAAACCATCTTAAATCAGTCACTAACCAAGCAAGCAATAGTGCTTTCACAGAAAATGAGGCATGATCCAGGGCTGGACTGTCTTCCAAGAATACCCCAAGCCCCCCGCCAGGATGTCACAGCCGCCAAGCCCCATCCCAGGCGCAGTTGTTCCCACGACACACATCACGTGGAGATCCAGCATGACTGCGGATTTATTACAAGTCCCCGAGGGCTTCACTTTTTCTTCTCCACGTCCTGTTCTGCAGCTTCCTTGGCTCTTTTCGCTCGTATGCCGAAGAGCCGGGCATTGGCACGGGCCATGCGGAGACTAGCGAAGGCTTTGAAATTCTTCTCCTCCTCAGTGATGACTCGTGCTTTCTCCTTCTTATAAACCTAGAAGAGAGAAACAGGGTATTAAACCCGCATGAATCACTGGGCAAGGTCACAACCAGCCATCAGCAGAACCCAGTAGACAGCCTCGGGGAGCAGGTATACTGCCCAGGCACTGCTGAAAAGCGACCTTGGCTTTGCTAAGGAATCACCTTCTCTAAGATTAAAAAAAAAAAAAAAAAAAAGTAAGAAAGAAAGAAATAACCCTCCCGGAGATAGACATGGTGGCCCAGACCCGTAAACCCAGAAATTCAAAAGCAATGTAAACAACAAAGAAACTCTTTCAACTCTCCCAACTTAGGGCTTCGTGGATGCAAATAACAAAACTAAAAGGAAACGTTCCTTTCCACAAACCTCCATACACACTACAATTGCGACTGTTTTCTTTCTTAAGCCTGATCCCCACCTCAAATTCACCCACTGATCTTGTCTAAAGCCTGGACTAGAGCAAGCATCCACTTACATTGCGGATGGGCATGACCGGTCCTGTCAGCTGGGTGGCGAGCTTCAGTTCCTCAGCCTGTTGGGGAATAAGATGGTTCAGTGGGTTTAGCCCCTCTGCCCCAAGGACGCCACACTCACCCAGCCCGAACTTCCCCTCGGATCGCATGTTTGGGAACCAGTGTCAGCCTTCCCTGCAACACTCTGTGGTCCCAGTGTTGAAACAGTCATTATTAGATCGTGACACAACTATCTTACTGAGCTGACACTCATAGAATCATCTGCCTGTGAACCCAGAGTCTGGGCTGAAAAGAACTGCTCCCTAATTCAACTCCCAGGAAGCCCATACAATGGACTCACCCCCTACAAGGTTTTCCTAGAAATAGTTTGGAGTATGACCATTTTAGGGAGAACAATGGGAAAAGCTGGCTCCAAGCCACACTGCCTTTGCCATGACAACCGAACAGAAGGTAATCCCTGCTGAAAGGCAGCCGCCGCACCTTGGCAGTCCTGATGAGCTCCTGTCTACTCCTGCAGGAGACCATGTTTTGCTAACAGAACAGCCACAATGTTGTGATGCCTCTCACCCCAGCTGGACACAGGGGCGGGTGTCTCCGGCTGCCATGACGGCCAGAAAGCCCCGTACTCACAGAACTGTCGCCCTTCTGCGGGGCCGAGGGCTTCCTGGGGAACAGGATGAGTTTGGAGCGGTACTCCTTCAGCCGCTGCACGTTGGCCTGCAGGGACTCGGTGGACTTATTCCGCCTCCTCGGATCCACAGAAATGCCGATGGTCCGGGCCACCTTCTTGTGAATGCCGGCCACCTGCCGCAGAACCAGAGTGAGATGGAGACAGGCCCGGACTGTCTCCAGCCCCGAGGCGCGGATAAAAAGCCTCAGCGATCAGATGGAAAAGGGTTCAAATGTGCTTTCATCAACGCCGTACAGCGATTCCGGAGAATGTCATCACGACTGAGGCCAGCAAAGCGGACTTCGGGCGCTTCCCGACACCGCGGCGTGGCCAGAACTCACCCTGAGCTCCTCCAGGCTGAAGCCGCGGCCGGCGCGCACCTTCGTGTGGTACCGAACCGTGGGGCAGCGCACGATGGGCCGGATGGGCCCCGACGCGGGGCGCGGGGCGATGCGGCGCGCCTTGGCTTGCCGGGCCTTGCGTCTGGCGGAGAGAAGCCCAGAGGATTAACTTCGCCCAAGGCCGTCAGGCAAGCGCCCCTCGCCCCGGGATCGCCCACCCCCAACCCAAGGCGCAGCCGCCAGCACGAGCCCCAGGGGCAGCCGCGAGCGCAGGGCTCACCTACGGATCTTCCGGGCCGGCTGGTTGAACCACGTGGCCACGCGCCGCTGCCAGTCCTTGTGGAAGTGGGGCTTCAAGATCATGCCATTCCGGCTGGGCGCCATGGCTGACTACGGCCCTGCGGCTGCGGATGAAATTGGAGGGAGTGAGGGACAGGGCCCCAGGCTCGCGCACTCCCCGGCCTCCGCCCTAAACCCTCCATCCTGGGCCGTCCGGCCGCGTTTAGAGCCCGGGACCCGGCCCAACACTGTCTGTGAAGCAGAAGAGGTTTTTCCATGCCCGCGCTAGCGGCAGCGTCAGGCCGATGGCACTGGATAGAGCCCGGAGGCGAGGACCCTGTCTCACTAACCTCCAGCGAAGGACAACAGCCGAGCGGAAAGGAAGCGGTGCCGCAGCGCACCCTGGGATGATAGTCGGGCGGGCCAACCAGAAGCGCCGGGCGCTCTGACCAATCAGAGCCCGGGAAGGAGGAAGTGACATACAGCGGCTCTCCCGGCAATTCTAGCCCCGCCCTTGCAAACATGGCGCCGCCCTGAGTACGGCGGAGCGGGAACCCAGGAGGTAGAGGTTGCGGTGAGGCGAGATTGCACCACTGCACTCCAGCCTAGGCAACAGAGAAAGACTCAAGTCTCAAAAAGTAATAATAATAATAATTTCGGCCGAGCGCAGTGGCTCACGCCTGTAATCCCTCAGAGGCCGACGCGGGCGGATTACGAGGTCAAGGGTTCGAGACCAGCCTGGCCAATATGGGGAAACGCCGTCTCTACTAAAAATGCAAAAATTAGGCCGGGCTCGGCGGCTCAAGCCTGTAATCCCAGCACTTTGGGAGGCCGAGGCGGGTGGATCACGAGGTCGAGAGATCGAGACCATCCTGGTCAACATGGTGAAACCGTCTCCACTAAAAATACAAAAAAAATAATAATAAAAATAAAAAATTAGCTGGGCATGGTGGCGCTTGCCTGTAATCCCAGCTACTCAGGAGGCTGAGGCAGGAGAATTGGTTGAACCCAGGAGGCGGAGGTTGCAGTGAGCTGAGATTGCGCCATTGCACTCCAGCCTGGGTAACAAGAGCGAAACTCCGTCTCAAAAAAAAAAAAAAAAAAAAAAATAGCCGGGCATAGTGGTGTGTGCCTGTGATCTGTTACTTAGGAGGCTGAGTCAGGGGGATGGCCTGAGCCCAGGATATCAAGGCTGCAGTGAGCCGAGATGGCACCACTACAGTCTAGCCTGGGTGACAGAGCAAGACTCTGTCAAAAAAACAACACAACAACAAAAAAACATTACTGAGGACACCACTCTTGGGTATAGCAGCTAAAAACCTCCCAACTGCATGCTGGTCTTTGGTAATGGAGTTGGACAACTGGGGCAAAGGTCACAGTCTTTCTCAGAGATACCCACCCTTGAGTGTGTGACAGCACCTTCAGCTGCCTCCCTACAACTCTGCTGGTGTTTTGGGGGGGGGCATTCAGTGTTGTAGCAACACTAGGACAATCCATTAATGTCACTGCACCACAGGAAGCCAGAGTGTGAGCTGCATGCTCTGAACACAGGGCCAGGCCCATTGCTGAGCGGCCGTCCTGGGTCATCCTCTCTTCCTACAGAGTCCAGGCCCCAGATTCCTACAGGAGTTTTCCACTTAGCCCCTACATTACTCAAATTATAAACTGAAAACACAAGCCCACCAGCTCCTCTGTGTTAGAGCTGGCCAGACAATGCAATTGTAGATTTTTCCAACCACAGAGTTTATTAGTAAAGTATCTCAACAATTCTCAGGGCAACAAAAACCAAGGCATCCCAACACTGCATGACTAGACCAGCTAGAAGTCCTCAACCTGCACCTGTCCACACGGCAGCAGGTGGCAGTGCTGAGTCCTCTAGAGCCCAGTTTCTGGGCCTGTGTGGCTTCATTGATGAGTGAGCTCAGGACAATCGGCTCAGAGGTTCCTTTCATGTCTGAACCCCTTAGCATTCCAAGGGAGCCACGGGAACTGAACGGCTGTGCAGGCATCAGCATGAACAGGGGTCTGTTCAGAGTCTGAATGCTGTGCGGTCTCTCGGTGGCCTCAGCCACACTGGGAAGGGTTGTGTCTGTAACCCTGGGAACTCGAGGTGTCCCATGCTCACTTGGGAAAGTACTAATAACCTTCCCCATGGGGGAAACGATGCACAAACACAAGGCTCATTCAGTTGTTTCCGAAGAGAAATTTACAATCGTGAAAAGGGTCATCAGTAAAGAGATCTCAGAAGCCGCTGCGCAGAGACTACTGAGGGCCCCAATAGCAAGTGCAAAGCTCAGCTGAAAAGAAACACGGAGTGGCTGAGTGAGCCGCTCACTTCTTGGATCACCCGCACGTGCGGCCAACACATCTCAACTACTTTGGCCAAGATGGCTCTTTGCCTCAAAGTGGGGGCTGCTGGGCCTCTTCCGCTGCCTCCTCCTCTCCAGAGTCCTGCTTCTCCCTCTGGGCATCGATCCACCTCTGTGGCGCGATCATTTTCTTCGGCCCATGGGGCGGTGGGCCAATGAGAGCCTCAATGTCCTCATAGTTTATCACTTCCTTTTCCAGAAGGGCATTTGCCAGCTAGAAAGAACAGGCAGAGCAGTGTGAGTCCCAGGACAGACACAGAGCATCTCTATGTCTTGGGGAGGCGGCGGGAGGTGTAAAGGCCTGCCTGTGGGCAGCACGCCCTAGACAGGCCACTTTCCCAGGGAAGCGGAGGCACGGAGGTAGCTCTGAAAGAAATATCACCCCCATCTCAACCTCACAAATGATTTCTGGCGGCCAGCCTCATTCATTTTTCTACTTCCCTTCAAAATCTTGGCTTATTTTTGGCAACTGCAATTTCCTTCACCAAACAAGATGTGTGTGTCTACAGGGAAGGAGAAGGGTAAAAGGCTGCACCCTCCTGACTGGGAACTGAGGACTGGGAAGAAGGAATCTGAGGTGGTGTGTGAGCTGGGACCTCACAATTTGGGGAAGGGAATTCCTGCCACTCCAGCCGGGATCCTGGAAAACACTCTGGATACCGAGTGTCCTGTGCCAGCAGCCCTGCCTCTGCTGCAGCCTGGCCGACCAAAGAAAACACTGCCATAGCCACATTACCCTAGTTTCTGTGAAGGCAAAACTCTTCCAGATTTTCTTTTTTTTTAACTGCCTGCTCCCTTCCTCACTCTTCCAAATTTTCTAAAGAAAACGGTAACCCCTGAAGCCACGGTGATTTACCTGCAGCTGTATTCCAGGAGACACACATTTCCTCTCCAGGGTTGCTCTGAGATTTTACCAGGTTCTGCAACCCACCGAGTGTGTGAGTGGCTGGTGGTTCACACACAGGGCTGACACTCCACTCCACAGCCAGTGAGAGAGAAGCCAGAGGCCTTGCCTGGAGCTTTGCTCTTGCCCACTCTGGCTTCCCCTGTGTTGAGTCTGAGTTCTGCAAAGCTGCTTCGTCAGCCGTGACGTGCAGGTGACTTATAAGACATCCTGTCTGCAGGCAGGTGCTGCTTCAGAGGGAGATGGCACTGCCCACACCTCCCCCAAGGTGCTGCTGCTAGTTGGGGACGACACTCCAAGGGTCCCAAACACAGGATACCTATATTACACAACCATGCCTCACTTGAAAGAAACAAGGGGAGCTGAAGAAACAACTACCCTTCTTCCCCTGCCTACCCATCTGTTCACAACATGGGACAGAGAGCCGTTCACCTCTCCTAAGTTCTAAGCAGCAGTTACCAGGACCCAAATACAAAATTGTTTTGGTATTTTTAGTAGAGACAGGGTTTCACCATGCTGGCCAGGATGGTCCCGACCTCCTGACCTCGTGATCTACCCGCCTTGGCCTCCCAAAGTGCTGGGATTATAGGCGTGAGCCACTGTGCCCAGCCAAAACTTTATTTTAAAAAAAAGTTCAAGAAGAAAGTTTAAGAGCTGTAAAAAGATTAAACACAACTGACAAAATACTGGTAACTGCTAATGCCAGGTAACAGGCACAGGAGACGCTGTGGCAGCTTCCTTCTACCTTGAGGGAGCACACATCAAAGTATGGAAAATATAAGGTAGCGTTCCCATTGACCAGAGTGTTCTCTGCACTCTCGGACCATGGGGACTGTGGGTGCTGTGAGGACTCTGTGAGGCGTGGCGGCCTCCCCGCTGGCTGGGGCCTCACCGCCTGCAGCTTGTCCAGGTTCTCCTGCAGCACGTTCTCGGTGTGTCTGTAGGCCTTGGCCACCAGCAGTCTTGCTTCCTGTGAGTGGAGGAAACTGTGTCAGGGGCAAGGCTGGCTGCCTGGCTCCAGCACCAAAGCACAGAAAAGAAACGCAGGGCTGAAAACATGGCCTTTCCCCTCCCAGGATGGCAGGACTCCTCGGCCAGCAGTTCTCCTGCCCCTGTGACCCTTGCCAGGAAAGCAGGGTCCCCCATGCCTGCCCACCCACCACTCACACCCACAGCTGCCTTACAGGCAAACAGCTGGCCCTTCCTTGCCCAGTCTGAAGGCCATGTGGGCCTGGCTCTATCGCTCAGTTCATTTATTTGATATTCTTCCCAGATTCACATCTCTAATTTCATCAGGAGCACCTGTGTCCTCCACAGGTCAGCGCTACTGCAGAGCCCAGAAGGAAGAAAGCCATGTGGGGCCTACAGCTGAGTTCAGCTGGGGCGGCACTCATGTGGCAAACCCGGGGAACTCCTTTCCCGGGGAGCACGTAGCACAGTGCCAGGCCAGAGCAGACTCACATGATCCATCATCTGCTGCAGGCCTTGGCTGAAGGGGCGCCGCCCGATGTCCATGAGGCCCTCCTGTGCCTCAGGGAAGGAGATGGGCCCGATGCCAGGTGCCATCCCAAACTGCTTCACCATGGAGTAAGCAATGCGGGTGACCTTCCTCAGGTCGTCCTGTGCCCCTGGAGGGTGGTCATGACAGAGGGACCCTCAGCACTGCAGGCGCACAGCTGCGCTGGCCCAGGCATCCCGGTCAGAACCCCGGGACTGCACCGCACCTCCCCATCCATTTCCTCCCAAGGCATCCCACCATGAAGCTGGATAGTAAGGACGTCGGCACCTCGCCACTGTTCCTTAGGAGAGCCTTAAAACTTTCAGAAATGCTCTCCGTTTAGAAATCTAGAACAGGGGGTGCATCAGAGCTCACTGCAAGGCAGGCAGGCAGTTCTCAACCACAAGCCTGACTTATGTGAGGCAAACCTGAGGACCTGGAGCCCAGGGGTCCCAGGACCCTCCTTCAGCTCAGCACATCCCAGTGAAGTAACAGCTTGAGAACACTCAAGCTGCATCAATTTCATTCCGTTTCCTGTAGACATTACCAATAATTAACCAATTAAATGCCTTTAGAGTTGGCATCTATGTTAAGTTTTTGTTCAATTAAATTGTCTAAAAACTCTTGCTTGGCTCCAAATCTCCCATGAACACAACTTATCTATCAAAACTATGCCTACACCAGATTCGCCCCATTGCATGCACTGGAACAGAAGGGAGATTGCTGTGGAAACACTCTGAAACCCCAGGCCCACGTGGCCACTCCCCTCCTCACCAGAAGTGACCCTGTTGAAGGTCAGTGCTTCCGACGCCCGGCCCCCAAGGGCCATGCACATTCGCTCAAACAGCTGCTCCTTGGTGAAGAGGTGCTGGTCTCTGGGGAGCATCTGAGCAAAGCCCAGGGCAGCGTTTGTCCGAGGCGCTATGGAGACCTGCACAAGGTCAAGATGGCCAGGTCAGCAGGCAGGATGTGGGCTTTGAGGAGGAAGGTGTGGGAGAGACTAAGAGGCCTCCGTCACCAGAGCGTCTCAGAGCAGGAAGGCAAATCTGCACCATTTACAACAAAGGACCCTAACGCTACAGCCAGCCAGCCAGCCCAGAGACAGCAGGGTTCCCAACTACAGGAGCCTGTTCACAGTCGCGGAGTGTCTTCCTCATGTACGACCAGGTGCCAGGCCCTGAGAAGACAGCTGAGAGGCCAAGGAGAAGTCACGCCTCTGACGGCTGCTGCACTGACCCCTCACCGAGGGTCAGTAGCAATGGGATGCCAGGGAGCAGAGACTGTCCTAACCTCTGCTGCTCCCCACACCCCACATCAGGTGTGCAAGGAGGTCAGCTTGGAGCCAACACACTATCCCAATGAGAAGGAACTGCTGTGCGGGAGACAGAGGGAGACGGGGCAGGGGCAGGTCCTTTGCTGGCTCAGCTGCTGTTTCTGAGAATTGTGGCAGCAAGATGACCACATCTAAGTGCTCTGAGAATCCTGAGAGGAAGTCCACTTTAAAATCTAACACTAGGCCGGGCGTGGTAGCTCACACCTCTGATCTCAGTACTTTGGGAGGTAGAGGCCGGCGGATTGCTTGAGCCCAGGAATTCGAGCCTAGCCTGGGCAACATAACAAGACCCCTTCTCTACAAAAAATACAAAAATTACCTGAGCATGGTGGTGCACGCCTGTAATCCCAGCTACTCAGGAGGCTGAGATGGGAGCATCACTTGAGCCCAGAAGGTCGAGGCTGCACTGGGCTGTGATCGTACCAATGGACTCCAGTCTGGGAGACAAAGAGAAAGATCCCATCTCAAAACAAAAAGGCAGCTCTGAATAACTGTTGCAGTGATGATCCCATTAATCACCAAAACTGTAACAGTCAATTCACAACCTTTCCTTGGCAGGACACTGAGCCTTGGGAAGGAGACTGACTTTTTCACTGTGACTATCTAACCTTTGCCCATCAAATTAAGTAAAAATTCTTTTTTTTCCCTTTCAGAGAGTTTCACTCTGCCACCCAGGCTGGAGTGTAGTAGCGTGGTCCTGGCTCACTGCAGCCTCTCCCGGCTGGGTTCAAGCAGTTCTTGTGCCTTTGCCTCTCAAGCAGCTGGGATTATAGGTACCCACCACCATGCGTAGCTAATTTTTTGTATTTTTGGTAGAGATGGGGTTTCAAGTGATCCACCAGCCTCAGCCTCCCGAAGCCCCTGCATTAATTTTGACTTGTTGAGATACTGTGTTAAAACGTTATGTTCATTGCTGGGTTTTTCAGTGTGCCACAAATGGGCCCCTAGCTAAGTGTCCACTCGCCCCACACCAGGCCTGGCTCTGGCCCCATAACTGCAGTGACACATACCTGGTCCCTAAACGCTGGCCTCAGCCCTGCTGGGAACCTGGGATGGGCAGGATACTCGTAGATTAACACCCTGCTTTGCTATAACTCACACCTGAGAAACAGTAACAGGGACCAGCACTGATTAACCAAGCTGGCCAGCTGCTACACAGTATGCATTTTTTGCAACGAGCCCTGAGGTCTCGCCAGCTGCTACACGGTATGCATTTTTTGCAGCGAGCCCTGAGGTCTGGCCAGCTGCTACACGGTATGCATTTTTTGCAGCGAGCCCTGAGGTCTGGCCAGCTGCTACACAGTGTGCATTTTTTGCAGCAAGCACTGAGGTGGGAGCACAGCACTCCTGCTTTCTCAGGTGAGCCTCCAGCCTGCATTGGCTCCCTGGCTCCACTGTAAGGATAGCACCTGTGTTCTGGACAGCCACCTCCTCTTGGCAGCACTCAGGCAGGTCTTAAGGAAGCTGGCTGTTAACGTCAACATCTGATAAGCATAAACTTCCATTGAGTTCACAGCTGCCTACAAGAGTAGTTTTTTTTTTTTTTTTAAATAGTAGAGACAGGGTTTCACCATGTTGGCCAAGCTGGTTTCAAACTCCTGACCTCGTGATCCACTGCGCCCGGCCTAGAGTAGTATTTTAAAATGTATGCTCAACTCACTTCTTTCCCAAGTTAGAAGTCACTTTGGAGTGGACAGGCTAAGGACAGGCAAAGGCAGTGAAACCTCACTGCAAGGAGTGACCTTTCTGGAGTCACCCCAGGAGCAGCACCACGCTCCAACAGGACAGCCTACTCCTGCCTCCCATGTCTGAGTTTCGGCCCATCACCTGTGACAGTCACCTCCCACTGTGTTTCCTGCTCCCTGGATCATGACAGTGGCAGGCTTTTTCACATGACTACAGACACAGGCGGGATGGGATGTCCCAGTCGGCCATGCCCAAGGCCCACGTGCTGAGACCCACCTTCATCACGGCCTCCGTGTGCTCCAGCATCCAGCCCACCAAGGCGTGGCCCGACTCATGAAACGCGACCACTTTCTGTTCTTCCTTAGACAGGATCTTGCTCTTTTTGGCAGTCCCTGAAAAAATGCCAGGGTGTGAGCTGAGGCCCCGGGCCTCTCCCTGGCCGGGCCCTGCTCCTGCCCCGTGAAGTCAAAGCAAGGCCCTCTCTGCACATCTGCCTCCTGTAGCTCTGCCCCAAACTTCACTGCAGTCATTGCTTTGGACGTTCCAACTCAAAAGGATGCTCTGCAGGTGAAAGCTGTTGAAGGAGGTCGTGATTTCTTCTTCTACAAATGTTGCCATCACCAAAATTGCTGCTGCTGCTTTTATGAGCAAGCACAACCTTCCTGAAGAGCCTCTCCTCCTGCCCCAGGGTTGGGGGACCCAGAGGGCCAGGGCAGGGTCACAGAAGCTTCTGACTTTCTCCCTGGCAGAAGTCTCCTCCGAGTCACGAGCCTCCTGCTTACTTTCCCTTTCCCCTCAGACCTGGCAGGGCAGCTCTTGCCTGTTACTTACGGTTCCTTATGGCTTTCGCTCATCCCTCGGTGGCCTTTTGCCTCAGGGACAAGGCTTTTTAAGAGACAGGGTTGTTGCTGTCTCTTAAAAAAAAAGGCTAGAGTGCAATGGTACAATCATGGCTCACTGTCACTTGAACCTCCTGGGTTCAAGCAATCCTCTCGCCTCAGCCTCCGGAGTAGCTGCTGGAACGGAGGTGTGCTTTGCCACCATACCTGGCTAATATTCTTTTTTTTTTTTTTAAAGAGATGGGGTCTTGGGTCTTGTTATGTTGCCCAGGCTGGTTTCGAACTCCTAGCCTCAAGCAATCCTCCTGCCTGAGCCCCCAAAGTGCTGGGATTATAGGCCAGCCAAGGACAAATGCTTGCATTAAATTTCCCCTGTTCAGCTCACCGGTAAGGCTTCATATCTGTAAGTTTCCATTCTTTGCAACTTGATTCAGCTCATGGTCCTGAGCACTCAGTACACCATGCTACTGGGACCTTCCACCACCACTTTACTGTAAGGCTTCAAATGCTGAGACACACTGGCTGTGGCCATGAGTTACTTCAACTGCAGCTGGCTATAGGGCTATGCACAAAGCCACAAGACCACAGGGCTTACAACAGAAAGGGAAGAGCTCAGTCTGACAGACAGCACAGCCAAGGCTGCAGCCTGGGCACCAGGAGGACACCATGCCCAGGCGCTCATGCTGGCTGCCAGAGATGAGCACTCAGAGGCGTCTTCTCTCCCGCCAGAAGCCTGGGCCCCCATCTCCCTGCACTTCCTTTCATAAGTCAATTCAGGCATTTGCCCATGAACCTGGGCTGACCACTCCCCATTCCCTGTGCATACGGCTCATTGCCACATGCCCTCTTCTCTCTGCCCGAACTTTCACTTCTGCCTCATAGAATCTTGGGACGGACGATGGCTGTCCCCACTCCTGGCGCCGTCCCTGCCCAGGATCTGTGACTAGTAAGTCTTCGAACATGTTTCCCACTGTGGTGAAGACTGAATTTGCACCTTCCACAAGAAGAACCAGGGGCTGCCGAGGCTGGGTTTTCTTGGAGACGCGGGGACACAGGGCAGGCTCCCAGCACCAGAGTGATGGTCAGGCAGGTATAACCTGGACGCGAATCAGACAAGAGCCACAGGGTGTCTGCCAGTGTCAGCAAGTTTCCCGGAGGGACTCCTGGACTCACGATGGACATTAGGCTGCTCCCCGGGTCAAAGACACATTCCACCACCACACACAGCGCGTTCATCTCCCTGAATGCAGGACTGCTGGCTACCAGGCACTGGACCCCAGTTTAGCTGGGGACTCTCAAGGCTCAGGCTGTCCACACTAAAGATGAATGCAGAGCACCCACTCAATGCATCACACACGTGAGATGGTGTCCTTTCAGTATTTTCATTTCTTCTCTTGGAGTCAGGGTGCTGCCCAGGCGGAAGTGCAGTGGTATGATCACAGCTCACTGGAGGCTCAACCTCCTGGGCTGAAGTCATCATCCTGCCTTGGCCTCCTGAAGTGTGGAGATGACCGGCCTGAGCCACCACATCCTTGCTGGCCTGTGGTTCCCACTCACTCCTTTCTGCTTTGATATTGTTATCAAAAGCTTATCGATTTCCATATAAAAGTAAATGGTTACACACACTTCAGTAAGACACGGTCAGTGCCTGCCAGCCCTCTTGACTCGAGGGGCTCTCAGGGAGAAGCCAAGGTGTGTTCTGTACAATACCTGGCACAGTAGCTGCCCCCACTCCCGTCCTCTTCAGGGATCCCCTGCTTTCCCAAGCTGCAACCCTGGAGGCCGACGAGAGGCGTATTTGTGCCAGGGATTCACTCACATTGAGGGTTAGGGAACTTGGTTCTCTCAGGGACAGCTCGCCAGGGCGGTTCGTGCTCCTTAAACACCTGCGGCAAGAACCACCTTCCTTTTCCAATGTTCAATCTGTCTCAAGAGTGACGGTGTGCATCTTAACCATTCAATGAGAAGATGACTGATTGAACACGTCTGGGTGTCACCACCACATACGGACACCTCCGGCACCTCAGATTCCTGGTCCTGCTTTCCTCAGACCCTGCACTGGGCAGCCACGGAACAGCATTGTCAGAGGCAGCCAGCCTGCCCGTCACCCCACACCAAAACTCATCTGTTCCTACTGATAGCTGGGGCCATGCTTTCGCCAGAGTCGTGCTGCAATCCACACCTCTCCTCAGGGACCAACTGCGCAGAAGGCACAGACAGCCCGCCAGGGCAGTGAGCAGCAGCAGCCCTCCGGTCCACAGTCAGCACAGGTTCACAGGCAAATGCCTGAATGGTCTGATTAAAGGAAGTGAGCCTGCCACACTCAGGCCAGCAAGGCATTTTTACATTTTTATGTTTATATTTTCATTATTTATTTATTTATTTATTTTTGAGATGAAGTCTTGCTCTGTTGCCCAGGTAGAGTGCAGTGGCACTATCTCGACTCACCGCAACCTCCGCCTCCTGAGTTCAAGCGATTTTCCTGCCTCAGCCTCCTGAGTAGCTGGGAATACTGGTGCCTGCCACCACGACCAGGTGGTTTTATATTTTTAGTAGAGATGGGGTTTTGCCATGTTGGTTAGGCTGGTCTCAAACTCCTGACCTCAAGTGATCCACCCACCTTAGCCTCCCAAACGGTTAGGATTACAGGTGTGAGCCACCACACCCAGCTATTTTTTTTTTTTTTTTTTGAGACAGAATCTTGCTCTGTTGCCAAAGCTGGAGTGCAACGGAGTGACCTCAGCTCACTGAAACCTCCGCCTCCCAGGTTCAAGCAATTCTCCTGCCTCAGCCTCCTGAGCAGCTAAGATTACAGGTGTGTACCACCACATCCAGCTAATTTTTTTTTCTTTAGTAGAGACGGGGTTTCACCATATTGGCCAGGCTGGTCTCAAACTCCTGACCCTGTGATCTGCCCACCTTGGCCTCCCAAAGGCATGAGCCACCATACCCAGCCCCAGTTATTTTTTGTATTATTATTTTTATTTTTTCTTGGGGGTGGGCATTTTATTATGTTTTTTAAAATTTTCTTTGGCAAGGCATTTTTATATTTCTGTCGGACGAGTCTGTCTACTCTTAGGTAAATCTGTAATATTTTAAACTATGGAAAACTATGTTGTATATTAAGACATGAGCTATACAGAACTGAAACGCAACGTGTTTCCTTCCCATGTGATGGTTCCCTGCTGTTGAATCAACAGGACGCCCAGGCCCAGATCTGGCCCCATCCACCTCACCTCTAAATATCTGCCTATTTCTGGGGTTCAAGCCCTGCTAAGAACAGCATTCCCCAAGGGCACGCCCCTCTTACCTGCAAGGACGCGCTCCACGGCGTACTCGAAACTGAGCGTGTGCACGGATGTGTGTCCCTCCCGAGCTGCGTGGAGCGCAGCCTCATTGCAGATGTTGGCGATGTCAGCTCCTGTCAACACAAACAGCAGCCAGGCATTGAGGGGAGGGCGAGGTTCTGCTCTATCACAGCTTAAGAGGAGTAAGGGGCCCTCAAGGAAGAACAAAGCAGCTCTGTGCGGTGCTCACATGTGCCATCCCAGCACTTTGGGAGGCCGAGGTGGGGGGATCACCTGAGGTCAGATGTTTGAGACCAGCCTGTGCAACATGGTGAAACACTGTCTCTACTAAATGTACAAAAACTAGCTGGGCGTGGTGGCACATGCCTGTAATCCCAGCTACTCGGGAGCCCAAGGCAGTAGAATTGCTAAATCTGCAATGCGGAAGCTGCAGTGAGCCGAGACTGCGTCACTGCACTCCAGCCTGGGTGACAGAGTAGGGCTCTGTTTAAAAAAACAAAAAAAAAAAAAGGGAAGAACAAAGAGGGAAAGAAACCAAGAGTGCTGGTGAGAACGTGCAGGAGAGACAAGGCCCCGGGGAGCCGGTGCCAGGAGGAGAGGTGGAAAGAGCGGCAGGCACTGGGACCACGTTCTACTGAGGCCATTCCACAGAGGAGACACACAACTGCCCAGGTCCATCCGCCTGTCACCCATCTCTCATCCCAGGCGCAGTTCCACACACCATCTTGTAACTGATCCCACCTAACGGCTCCTGAGCACTGATGGGAAAGAGGTTAAAGGCTCTCTAGTATCCACAGCATTGCAGTGAAAGCCGTTAAAAAAGCATCAAAAAGGAAATTCATGTCATAATAGATGGGAGTTTTGTTTACATTAACTTTTTTTTTTTTTTTTTTTTTTTTTTTAAGATGGAGTTTCGCTCTTGTTACCCAGGCTGGAGGGCAATGGCACGATCTCGGCTCACCACAACCTCCGCCTCCTGGGTTCAGGCAATTCTCCTGCCTCAGCCTCCTGAGTAGCTGGGATTACAGGCACGCGCCACCATGCCCAGCTAATTTTTTGTATTTTTAGTAGAGACGGGGTTTCACCGTGTTGACCAGGATGGTCTCGATCTCTTGACCTCGTGATCCACCCGCCTCGGCCTCCCAAAGTGCTGGGATTACAGGCTTGAGCCATCGCGCCCGGCCCTACATTAACTTTTAAAATGAAAGCCCACAGAAAAACATCTTGATGAATGATTTTTAAAAAAATTTTATTATTATTAGATTTTTAGAGACGGAGTTTCACCATATTGGCCAGAACAGTCTTGAACTGACCTCAGGTGATACACCTGTCTCGGCCTCCCAAAGTGCTGGGATTACAGGGTGCGCCACCGTGCCCGGTGATGTACGATTTCTATTTCTTTCTTTTTTTTTTTTGAGACGGAGTTTCGCTCTTGTTACCCAGGCTGGAGTGCAATGGCGCGATCTCGGCTCACCGCAACCTCCGCCTCCTGGGTTCAGGCAATTCTCCTGCCTCAGCCTCCTGAGTAGCTGGGATTACAGGCATGCGCCACCATGCCCAGCTAATTTTTTGTATTTTTAGTAGAGACGGGGTTTCACCATGTTGACCAGGATGGTCTCGATCTCTTGACCTCGTGATCCGCCCGCCTCGGCCTCCCAAAGTGCTGGGATTACAGGTGTGAGCCACCGCGCCCGGCCACGATTTCTATTTCTAAGACTTGACAGAGACTGTGAGGGTCAGAGGCAGGAGGTTTGCTGGCACCACCTGGTGCAGGGCATTAAGACGCCTGGTCAGATGGGAAGTGCCCTGGATGATGGCTTACTGTGTGGATGAAAACACGAGTCTCACATTTCTGGAGTCAACATGGACCCAGAACCCCCATCTGGTTTCCCACCCCTGGGGCGGAGGAAGGAGTGTGGGTGCCGTCTAGACCTCCTGCTGCCCCACACACATATCGACTCCCATGCAGGCTTGTACCAAGCAGGGGCCCCAGAGAAGGAGCAGCGCCTACCCTATAGGAGGCCCTGATGCCATGTGTGTAGGTAACACCGCCTGCTCTGAACACATGCCACTGCCCAAGCTGCGGGTTGAGAACGTACCACTGAATCCTGGTGTCAGCTCTGCCAGACGCTGGGAGTAAAAGGTGCTGGCCTGGGTCAGCTTCAGGCTCTTCAGATGCTGCTCGAAAATCTCCCGCCTCTCCTGCCAGATCCAGGGGAGGACAGACCGTGGGGCTCACACCCAGGTATTGCTGCAGGCGCAGCATGTATGTCTGTGGGGAGCGGTGGGGTGTCCCTGACGCATCCGCCCTGAGGACAAGCCCCGCTTGGGAGGCCTGTGGGAACTGCTAGTTTTTAAATCAGTGTTCTTTACCATCAGTCACCACCCATGTGGCTTGTGAGCTGCAAGCAGAATTTTTTTTTCTTTTTTGAGACAGGGCATCGCTCCATCACCCAGACTGGAGTGCAGCAGCATACATGGTCTCAGCTCACTGCAACCTCGGCCTCCTGGGTTCAAGCCAGCCTCCCAAGTAGCTGGCATTACAGACAGGGGTGTGTCATCATGCCTGCCTAAGTTTTCTATTTTTAGTAGAGACAGGGTTTCACGAAGTTGGCCAGGCTAGTCTCAAACTCCTGGCTTCAAGTGTGAGGGTGCCTCAGCCTTCCAAAGTTGTGGAATTACAGGTGTGAGCCACCACACCCGGCCATGAGCAGCATTTTATTTCTCATTTTTTTTGAGACAGAGTTTCACTCTCGTTGCCCAGGTTGGAGTGCAATGGTGGGTGCGATCTCGGCTCACGGCAACCTCCACCTCCTGGGTTCAAGCAATTCTCTTGACTCAGTCTCCCAAGTATCTGGGATTACAGGCAAGTGTCACCACACCCAGCTGATTTTGCATTTTTAGTAGAGATGGGGTTTCTCCATGTTGGTCAGGTTGGTCTTGAACTCCCAACCTCAGGTGATCCATCTGCCTCAGTCTCCCAAAATGCTGGGATTACAGGCATGAATCACCACAACCGGCCAGGAGCAGCAATTTAAACATAAACAGAATGCTCTTGGATAGCTGGGCCTGGTGGCTCACGCCTGTAATCCTAGCACTTTAGAAGGCCAAGGCGGGCAGATCACCTGAGGTCAGTTCAAGACCAGCCTAGACAATACGGTGAAACCCCCATCTTTACTAAAATACAAAAATTAGCTGGGCATGATGGCAGGTGCCTATAATCCCAGCTACCTGCAATGATGAGACAGGAGAATTACTTAAACCTGGGACATGGTGGTTGCACTGAGCCCAGGTCACATTACTGTACTCCAGCCTGGGCAGCTGGGGGGTGGGGAACAAAAAACCTAGCCGGACATGGTGGCGCACGCCCATAGTAGTCCCAGCTACTCAGCTGGAGCCCTGAAGGTCAAGGCTACAGTGAGTGATGATCGCAGCATTGCACTCCAGCTTGGGTGGCAGCGTGATACCCTTTCTCTAAAACTTAAAAAAGAAAAAAACTCTAGTGGAATAGCTAAGGAAGCACGCCACACACACCAAGAGCTTATTCTGCAAAACTTCTAATTCCCACATGTTAAATGCATCAAAATCCTGATGCAAAATGTTTCTTACACAGTCAAGGAACACAGGAGCTGCCCTCCCCTGGAGAAGCAGTGTCCCAGGAGGACAGGCCTCTGCTCCGCCTCTCCACTCTCCAACCCAACTCTGGAAGGGTCTCCACTCCCCCCTGTACCTTCCATCTCAACGGAGGCCGAGCACCTGCTGAGGCATCATGGCAGCCGCCTGTGTGCACCCAGCCCTGCTCCCGACCAGCTGACCATGAGGCCCACTCTCCAAACCCTCCCCTCCATGGGTGGAACTCCTGCTCCCTCAGACCACAACCAAGGCCCTTTGGCCAAGAGGAGTAACGTCCAACCAGAGCCCTGTGAGAGAGGAGGGATTGGGCAAGAGGCCTCATGACTTCTACGCCCACCCCGACTTCAGGCAAGCTGCACAGTCCATGTCCCCAGAGTCCACTCTCCAGATGGAAGGGAGTGAGGCCATGCAAGAATCAAGCTTCCCACTATTTTTCCTCCTGGATTTTGTTTGAAAGAATTTGCTATAAAACCCAGACTGATACCCAGGATAAAAGAGGAGCCAACAGCAGGTAAAGACAACTGCAAAACCAAGAGCAGTGGGTGCAGGAGGTGGACGGGTCTGCCAGGGCATGTACGGCAGCACGATGGGCAGCGCCAGAACCTGTGGGGCTGTGGCAGGCTTCACACCAAGATGCAGCTTAAAGGAGAGGCCAGATCACTCAGGACCAGAGTGAGGGTGGCCCAGGCAGAGTGGGAGAGGCTGGGGTCCTAGCTCTGACCTGCAGCGTGGGAAGATCAATGAAGACATGCCGGTCCAGTCGGCCTGGCCTCATCAGAGCACCGTCCAAAATGTCGGCTCGGTTCGTGGACGCCAGGACGATAACATGGTCTGTGGTTCCCATTCCTGAGGGGACAGAGAAGACAGTGGCCCTGAGGGTGGGGGTCCTTAAACAACAGATTTCTCCTGCAGGTTCTCCTTCAGGATACAGGAGTGGGAGAGACATCCCCCACCCCAAGGCCCAGTGAGAAAGGAATATCCCCGTCCTTAACTGGGAGCTGAGCTATGATCCTTCCCTCATCACTCAGCCAGTAACACCAGAAGGAACAGGAATTTGAGTATTTGACAGTGAAAACAGCAATACCTTCCCTGGGGGTGGCTACTGAGGCAGAAGGGTCCAAGGCCCTCCTGGAACTCCCACAGCCCCCTGCAGGGTCTCATGGTTGGTCCTCACAGCCCCACCCGCCTTGGGCCCTGTCATTACTATTATGACCTTGTAACATCTTTAACAGCTTGATTAAGGCTATAACTTGAAACTTTTTTTTTTTTTTTGAGATGGAGTTTCGCTCTTGTTACCCAGGCTGGAGTGCAATGGCGCGATCTCAGCTCACCGCAACCTCCGCCTCCTGGGTTCAGGCAATTCTCCTGCCTCAGCCTCCTGAGTAGCTGGGATTACAGGCACGCACCACCATGCCCAGCTAATTTTTTGTTATTTTTAGTAGAGACAGGTTTTCACCATGTTGACCAGGATGGTCTCGATCTCTTGATCTCATGATCCACCCGCCTCGGCCTCCCAAAGTGCTGGGATTACAGGCGTGAGCCACTGCGCCCAGCCTGAAACATTTTATCTTTAACACCTGGCCCTGGGTTTCAGGCTTGAGGGTTCTCATCAGAGAATTTAAAAGTGAGTCCAGCCAGGTGTGGTGGCTCACACCTGTAATCCCAGCACTTTGGGAGGCCGAGGCGGGTGGATCATGAGATCACGAGGTCAAGAGATCAAGACCATCCCGGCTAACATGGTGATACCCCGTCTCTACTAAAAATACAAAAATTTGCTGGGCATGGTGACGTGCGCCTGTAGTCCCAGCTACTTGGGAGGCTGGGGCAGGAGAATCGCTTGAACCCAGGAGGCGGAGATTGTAGTGAGCCGAGATTGCACCACTGCACTCCAGGCTAGTGAGAAAGAGAAAAACTCTGTTTCAAAAAAAAAAAAATGAGTCCAGAAACAATCACTGACCCCTGGTGTATGTGAAGCTTGACTGGCCCCTGATGTGAAAAAAATCAACTGCAAAATAAAATTTATGAAGCTGCGGGGAACACCTGAATGGATGCCCATAAGAATTTTCAGGTGTTACCATGATACTGTGATATTTTTCTGAATTTAAAAAAAACGTACTGAGAGCTCATAAGATTCAAAACTCTGGGTCTGCTTTAAAGAAATCCACTGACGGCCGGGTGTGGTGGCTCACACCTGTAATCCCAGCACTTTGGGAGGCCAAGGTGGGCAGATCACCTGAGGTCACGAGTTTGAAACCAGCCTGGCCAACACGGTGAAACCCCGTCTCTACTAAAAACAAAAAATTAGCCAGGCGTAGTGAAGGGCCCCTGTAGTCCCAGCTACTCGGAAGGCTGAGGCAGGAGAATCACTTGATACTGGGAGGCGGAGGCTGTGGTGAGCCACTCTGGCAAGGGTGCAAGAACTCAGTGGAGAGAAGACAGCGTTTGAGACCAGTGGGGATGGAGCACTTTTCCACAGGCAGAAATTGAGCCTGACCAACCTCCCATTTCACACAGAAGCTAACTTATAAGAACACGGATTAGCACAGCTCCTAGGGCAGAGTGTGCTTGATACACGCACTGCCACATTAAGGACAGAGGTAGGGGTGTTCCAGGGTCACACTGGGACCAGGACCTGGGCTTCCCAGGGCCTCATTCAGTGCTTAGACATGGCGAGTTCACACACTGGAGATGAAACACCCCATGGCAATCACCACCACGCACACATGGCTGATGACTTGACTCTCCCAGACTGAAAACACAGAGCCTGGCAGCCGAGACAGGGTAAGAGGTTCAGCCTGGGAGGTGGAGGCTGCAGTGAGCTACGATGGTGGCACTGTACTTCAGCCTGGGCAATGGAACGAGACCCTGTCTCTGAAGAAGAAGAAAAAGCCGAGGCATGACATTTTCACAGCAGCCTTTTCTGTGCGTGGCTGCATGTCAGGGGCCGCCATCTTGGCTTCCACCATCTGGGGATGCCCATGTCTTAAGGGAAGCCTGCGTGCACTGTTGGGCATCTGTGGCTCCTGCGTGCAGTCAGAGCTTCTGCTCCCCATCACTTCTTCTTAGCACAGGAGCCGGGACCTGGACGTCCGTTGCTGGAGCAGCCTCCAATACTGACTTAGGCCCTTCCCATGGGGGTCTGGGGTCTGTAGGACACCACTGTGGCCTGGCTGGTGTGACCAACAAGGCAGGGGAGTTCCTTTTCCTCAGTGTTTTTCCCACGACTGGCGCAACATACGCCCATCCTGTGCATGTCAATGAACAGATACTACTCTTCCCCACAGAAGCAGCAAAGCCTGGCCTGGGACCTCAGCGGGGCTGAGTGTGCACAGCTGCAGCTCTGCATAGGGGACTTGTTTAGTGCTGGCACAACTCAACAAGAGGCCTTCAGTCAGCGATTCCCAGGCCTCAGCAAATCCGGGGACGGAAGCAGCTATTCTTACAGTAGCACAGAGAGGTTCCGTGGAAAAGGCTGCTTGATAAATGCCTGCCAGTAGGCTCAAGTCACCCGAAAAGATGGCCTCTGTCTTCAGTGCAAAAAGCACCCCAAGCAGAGTGAATGACGTCCGTGGCCCTGTGGGCTCCATCAGACAGGAGCAGGTGGGGCCTCTTCTCAACTTCCTCATGGTCCTCTGGGAGGGCACCTGGTTAACACAGGGAAGGCCGCAGACTCACAGGACGAAGGCCTCACAGTCCACGCCACGAAGCCAGCATGGCCCAGCCACTGGAACCCAAGGTGTGCAGTAGATTTCCTCAAAACCCCAAACCACCAGCCAACCATGGGCAGCCTCCAGAGGCAATGGTCAGAGCCACACTGAAGGCCACACAGCACCAAACAGGCCACATAAAGATGCTCCACAGAGACGCAACACAGCAAGCCTGGGGACCCAGAGGCCTCTGAAATGTACAGTGATCCCTGCTTGAGGCGCAGGGCCAGCTTCCCCAGCAGAGGCAGTGGGGTCCCTTGAGGACCCATTTCTGAGGAGGTGTCTCCTCAGTGACACCTCAGACATCGCAGAATCTGAACGACTCACCCCACGTCTCTGAAGACACTCTGTTCTCAGAAAACTCTATTCCCAGGACCACTTGTTCTGTGTGCGGAAGGCGGCCGTTGAGGTCTCAGTTGTTCATGCATTAGTTCCTGAACTAGCGTGTTCACAGACGATGGGATGAGGTGCAGGAGAGACGTGAAGCGTTCTCTGCAAACACCTCAGCAACGCCACTGCGTCCTCCACAGTCGGGAATCTTGCTTTAATCCTTTACCCTGGGAGCTCACAGAGCCTACGGAGCACTTGTGTGGCCCTCAGTCCATCTGACTTCACAGCAGCCCAGAGGCAGATGGGAACACAGGGCACCCAGAAGAGACGTGAGACAGCACGAGGCCAAAGCCCTCAGCAGAGTCCACCAGCTACAGGCACGGTGACACTGCAAACTGCAAGGCACACCACAGCACTGCTGCACCGGTCCAGGCAATGCACTGCTCGACCTGACCCTGAGGATACGTCACAGCTCCAGAGAGGATATTCCTTAACGTCACTGGCCTGGACAAAGTGTCACAGCCACCAAAGACAAAGACCGAAAAACAGTGGAGCCCATGTGTAATCCCAGCTACTCGGGAGGCTGCGGCAGGAGGATTTCTTGAGCCAAGGAGTTCAAGACCAACCTGGGCCCAAAGCAAGACCCTGCCTCAAGAAAACAAAAAAAACAAGACCAAGAAATGGCACAGGATAGGAGGAAATAAAGGAGACTGAACATCCACGTCGGGAGTCGGAGGCACCCGGGTGGGTCTGCGGGGCAGTTGCGGACACTGTGGCCGGGGGTCGGAAGCACCTGTGGCTGGGTCTGTGGACACCATGGCCTGGACCAGCAGACCATGTACACCAGTCAGCCTTAGAGGAGCTTGTAGGAAGGCATAAAGGAACACTCTGACTACTGTGCCGATACTTCTGTAAGTCTAAAATTACTTCACAATGAAAGGTGAAAAAAGTTCCACCCTCAGCTCAGTACAATCCAAACTGGACTATGCAGGTGCTGGCTAACACACAACTCCAAGCAGGAAGCCACAGGCCATAAAGAAAACGGCAAGTGAATGGCTCTCCTGGAGCCAGAACACATGGGGGAAAACATCTCCCTCACCTACAACACCTAAAATGCAACTTGAATTCTGATTAAAATTAAAAATAAATCTTACAAAGCAGAAACTTGAAAAGATGCTTGCTGCCCTGTAAACACAGCCTGATTCACAACAGCCCACATGTCCATGGATGGGCGAATCAACAGACACGGCCCTACACACAACGCAGTATGGTTCAGCCTCAGAGGAAGGAAATCCTGATCTGCGCCCAGCACAGAGGGCCCCGAAGATGCTCTGCTCCGTGAAAGAAGATGAGTAGCAAAGGACAAACACTGTGGGTCTCTATAAGGTCCTAGAAGAGTCGAACTCAGAGACAGACACAGGCTGCAAGAGGCTGGGGTTGGAGAATGGGGAGGGCTCAAAGGGGACAAATTTTCTCTTTGGACTGAAGACAAAGTTCTGGAGGTGGATGGTGGTGACGGTGCTCGACAATGGGAGTGTACTTAATGCCGATAAACTTCAGAATGATCAAAATGGCCAGTTTATGTTAATGTATTTTTAAAACTGTTTCTAGAGACAAGGCCTCACTGTGTCACCCATGATGCAGGGCAGTGGCAGTTCACGGGAAGACCATGGCAGAGCACAGCCCCTAACTTAGGCTTCAGCACTCCTTCCACCTCAGCCTCCCAAACAGCCAGGAACACAGGCATGCACACCAAGCCTGGCTATCTGGACATTTTACCACAACAATATCCACCCCCCCAAAAAAAGG